GGGGGGGGGGGGGGGACTGCCAGCCTGCGCCAGCTGTGGCCCTGCCTCGATGGCCACTGTCAGCTTCAGAGTCGGCTGCCGCGTGTCCGGCTTTTATAACAGACAGACAGACTGCCTGACTCGTCCCAGGGCCTAAGCACGCCTACAAAAAGCCTGACTCGGCCGCCGGGGTTCGCTTGGCGTGGGTAAATGGGAGGGACATGCAGAAGTGAATGTCCTGGGAAGGATTTCCCCCCACGAGGTCATTTCAGTAACCTTCTGTTTTCTTTAAGATCATGGGGAAATTCTTCTTCGGCCTAGTGCAGTCGGGGGCGTGGTGCTGCTTCGATGAGTTCAACCACATCGACGTGGAAGTCCTCTCGGTGATTGCCTCGCAGATCCAGACGATTAAGGCCGCCAAGGACTGCTACTCTGTCAGGTATTTGCTGGGTGCGCCTGGGCCCCTGAACTGCAAATATCGCCTACGTTTACTGTTGCTGCTGTTAAGTATTTTTTCCTACAGTGAGTGTTTGGGCGGGGGTGGGGCACTTATCTAGAATGTCTCCTTTGTTTGGCAAATAATGTGAAAAAATCTTTGATTTCACATTTTCTTAGTGCCTTTTCATCTTAGGATGTTGCGTTTGAAGAAGCCAAAGGTGGTGGGTTTTGGTGGTTTATTCCCCCCCTTGTAATTCTACATCTTTTTAAAAAGCAAAATTATACTGGCCAAACACCAGCAGCCCCCTCTTACCCCATTACTGTGGATGAATATACTTTAATAGTCTTGTAATGATGTTCCGAGGCTTCCCAAGTCTCCCCTCCCCCCATTGCTTTCCAGAATGCTCTGTTTGGATTTTAATGTCGCACAGCCTTGGGAAAGTTCCAGGCTCGGTTGTTCTCCCGTACTCCAGCCTAGAGGAAGTTCTCTCAGCGATGCAAACTGTCATGTCTCGTAGGTTTGTGCTGGAGGGACGAGAAATCCGTATCAACATGTCCTGCGCAGTATTTGTCACCATGAATTACGGGTGAGTGTGGGCGAATCTGTAGTGGGAGCGGACACGCTTCTCTTTAAGTCTCAGCCACGGCGGGAGCTGCCAGGCGTGGCACGGGGACCCTGGGCCGCCACCCCGTCTCCCCAGCCTGAATCCCCCTGCTGGCCCCGCTGTTTAGAAACAGCCACAGTGACATTTTCACTTCCCGAGTAGCCAGAGAGGAGATGCGCCACAGAGAGGACACCGACAGGAAAGCTGGTGGGACCAGCAGGAGGAACAAGGGGTGGAGGCCGGGCCGGCTCAGGACATAGGTGCTGCTGGGGCGGTGGGGTCACGGGCCGGGGAGCCGGGCAGAGCCACGGGGACGCGAGTCGTGGGAGGAGGCACAGGGGGGAGAGATCACAGACGAGGGAGCACGTGAGATGCAAAGCACAGTGGAAACCACCTTGTGAACAGTAAAGCCCCCAGCATGGTTTCGGGGAAGGTTATATCGTGTATATAACCGAAAAACTGAAAAGTGTATTTCCCCCCCCCCTTGTTTTTCTTACCCTCTTAAGATACAAAGGTCGTGTAGAGCTCCCAGATAACTTAAAATCTCTCTTTCGCCCTGTGGCAATGGTGGCTCCCCATTTTCAAATGATTGCTGAAATCATTCTGTTCTCGGTGGGTTTCAAATCCGCAAAATCGCTCTCCAGAAAGCTCGTTAACCTGTACGACTTAGCCAGCAAGCAGCTCTCACAACAGGTAAGGAACTGCTTTTCTCCAATACAGGCGATTCCAGAAAACTTTTCTGGAAATTGTCCAGGAATGACCTGGGGAGCTAATGGAGCTGGAAGTCCTGTCCGCACATCAGGTCCGTGGCCCAACTTGGGCGTAAGGCCGTATGTCAAGTCGGTCAAGGGGCCAACCCTTTCCTCCAAGCTCAGGGGGGCAGTAATTGAGTATCTGCTATTTTAAATGATAGACCACTTTCTCCATCCAGGGAAGTTCATTTAGAGCAGCGGTTCTCAGGCCTCATTGTGCATCAGAATGATTTGGAGGCCTTGTTGGAAGACAAGCTGCTGGACCTCACTGCCAGCTTTCTAATCGTCTGGGGCAGGGCCAGAAAAGTTGCCTTTCTAACAAGTTGTCAAGAGTTCCCGCCGCTGCTGATCCGAGTGGTACCTGCCACACTTGGAAAATCACTGTTCTAGAGCGTTCGTTTCTAACCCACAATGGTTTGCACGGCTAGAGACGCACTTCAAAGCGTTCCTCTTTACAGCCGTCTTTCGGTTCGTCTCTCTCTGTCAGAGAAAATTTAATTCCGTTTTCAGCCCCTTTACTCCATGTTAACTGTACTTTAAGAAGGAGACTTTCGGGAGCACCCGTTCGGGAGAGAAGTGAGCGTTGGAAGCAAAACTGAACTCGTGTCCCTGTTTCTCTCCATCGCATAGACGACTAGCCATTTAACTACATGCTCTTTGCATTTACTGCCAAGTTATTTCGTTTTTCCTTCAGAAGCTTAATAACGCACGTATTTTAATGTTTACTAGGACCACTATAATTTTGGCCTGAGGTCTCTGAAGACAATTATAATAATGGCTGGAAAGAAGAAACGGAAGTTTGAATGGTCAGTGGAATTTTGAATTGTTAGGTCAAAAGTAGTTGTACAACCTGAAAAAATAGTGTGTACAGTAGTTTTATGAAACGATGAGAGACGGGGGGAGCTCCCGGAGCTCTCAGTGAAACACATGCCCCAACCAGGCATAATGATTCTCTAACGTGAAGCAAGATCTGCCTTGAGAGAAAATGTGAGAGGGGTCAAGGCCATTCCCCAGAACCCCCGCAGGAAAGCCCGAACTCTTTCCCCCTCGGAGATTTTTAATAAATCATTGTTATTTTTCATTAGATATTAGTTAGCCTGAATTCATTGCAGCTAAAAAAAACCAGACACACGAAAAAACCCTGTTGCTCCATTGCCCACCCCTGGACCAGTGATGGGAGTAACGTCACCCTGACTGCTCTAGACAAGGCAGAGCCCGTCCCCGGAGCTGGGCACCGTGCTCGCTCGCCCAAACCGCAGCTGCTTTGNACCAAACACACAAAACAACCCTGTTGCTCCATTGCCCACCCCTGGACCAGTGATGGGAGTGACGTCACCTTGACTGCTCTGCTTTGCGGTGAGGGAAGGGGGGCAGGAAATTGGAGCAGCCCCCTCTAGAAATGAGTATTAATGGTCTTTAATGTCAGCAAAGCATCCCTGCTAACTTGGTTTTCTTTGTGTAATTTTTTTTTTTAATATGTCTTTATTGATTTGAGAGAGAGGGAGCGAGAGAGAAACATCAATGGTGAGAGTCATTGACCGGCTGCCTCCTGCTGGGGATCGAGCCCGCAGCCCGGGCCTGTGCACTGACCGGGAATCGAACCCCGATCCCCTGGATCCTAAGTCGACGCTCAACCGCTGAGCCACGCCAGTCCGGCTCACTTGTTCTCTCTCTTTGTTTTGTGTCATTAAAGTACCGCAAGCGACAGTCTCTCGGTAATGGACGAGTCTCTGATTGTGATTGAAGCGGTCAGAGAAGCTTGTTTACCAAAATTCATTGCAGAAGACGTGCTACTTTTTGAAAAGATCATAGGAGATATTATTCCCGAAGTGACAGTTTCAAAAGTCAACCAGCTGGCCTTGGAGGTAATGAACCTTTTGGAAGCTGTCGCGAAGGACTTGGATGTGGAGTGTCAGCTTAGATAAGAAACTCGATGTGGGTGGAAAAGACTGCGGTTCCTCCCGAAACGCTCTAGTCATGTTGCAGGTGGGGGATGATACTACTTGGGGGTGTATTGTCCCCTCGGGGGGAGAAAGAGCTTTCGGTGCGTTAGGCCCGATGGAAGGAACAGTGACCTGTACCCCGAGGCGAGGAGGAAGGCTGTTGGGTGTTGAGTTCGCCCCAGGGCCAGAACTACTTGCCCCCCACTTGTCCAGGCCTGCTGAGCTCTCTGTGCCCCCTTTGCCCGTCCCATTGCAGGAGTGCAGGGAGTGAGAAACGAAGCGGGCAAGGTTGGCGAGAAAAAAAGATAAATTGTCTTTTTTCTGTAGACATAGCTACCAACTGTATCCGCACCGAAGAACCACTTTAGAAGGAAGCAGCTGCCCTTAGAATTTCTCTGTTGAAATATTAAGTGTCTTTCTAAGCTACAGCCACTCGCTGGGATGCTTTAGCCACTCGCTGGGATGTTTTAGCCACTCGCTGGGATGTTTTAATGTATAACCGTGTCAGGTTTGCAAACTTTGAAATTTTACTTGTTATATCTCAGAACAGTTTTAACATTGAAACATTAAAATAGTCATTGCAAAATTGAAAACCTACCTTAGCGGTGAGTAGAATTGCACAAAGATGTGGAATCTTCTGCATTTTTTTACTGTAGGATAAATACTTGTCCTATGGCAACAGCGAGTCCTTGAGTACATCTTAAAGCAGGAGTTCTTAAATTTGGGGGGGCGCCTATGAATTTGCTACCGGGGTCTCTGAACGTAAAATTTGGATGTGTTGTATTTTGGGTGGAAAGTAGGTTTTCATTATTCTCAGGTTGGTGAACTAAAAAAATTCAGAACTACTATCCTAAAGTACAGTACTTGGTACCTGGTTAAGAGAGATTTTGTAGGATCACATACCAAGAGTTGGAGCTGCAGCACATTTTACATTGATGTGTTTATTTTGTTTTAGAAAGTAATAGCTATTGCAACACAACAGCTGGGCTTACAGCAATGGCCAGCTCAGAAAGAAAAAGCCATCCAGTTTCATAACCAACTTCAGGTAAGTGTAGAATATATAGCTCCTTGCTCCTGGGCTCTGAAACCATCAAGGAGAAAAACACTATCAATCAGAGAGCTCTTACCATGTTCTTCGAAGTAGAGTGGTTTATTGATTAGTTATTTACCTGGACTTATTTGACCCCTCACTGTAACTCTCAACAAGACTCCTCCTCACCAATTTGCTATTTGTTATTACCAAGTTTTCATATCTAACAGGGTGGATTTCTTTACCGATTTCTCCCACATTTTATTTTTTTGGTCTGTGTCTCTGTCTTTATGACAACACCACACAGTCTTCATTACCATAGCTTTACGGTAGGTCTTCATATCTGTTGGTACCAATTATAAGGGAGGAAAAGTTACCCCTGACCCTCTTAGGGCCCCAGGCTGGGTCTGAAGATTAAACTAATAACTAAGACACATTAACAAGGGAAAAGCGTGTAACTTCTCCTGAATTTTTGCATGTAATGGGAGCCTTCACAAAAGAATGTTTGTGCCCCAGCCCCCAGCACTTGAATTTGGGGGGGTGGGGCACCAACACTGAGCCCCTACCACCAAGGTGAGGCGGTTGTGGTTGGCATGGAAAAAGGATAGAGTCGAGCAAAAGTTTTGCAAGAGGTGAGGGGGTGAGGAGGCAGGTCTTCTGCTCTGTGTGACTGGTTCACAGGGGTTTTATTAACCGGATTAGGGAAATAAGAACCGAAAAAACATACGGATTAGATTATGTTGAAAAACACACGAGGCATTCAGATGGGAACATTTAGTAGACCATAGAAATTTCTGGTTCTTACAACCAAAGCCTGGGGGAAATGTATACACTAGGGAGCCATTAGAATTCAGACCCAGTTAAAGATGCTCCAAATCCACGGGGTGGGAGAGTTTCACTGTAGGAGAGAGAAAGAGAGATGAATTAAAAGGCTAACACGGAAACAATAGCCGGAACTCAAGAGAGAACATTGACCCACGGAGAGTCCAGAGAAATTTTGTCACAGAGGCCACTTGTAGAGAGAAGGTACAGGAATAAGCCAGAATTGGAAAGTGAGATGAACTGTGAAATATCAAGGCCTGGAAGTTATTCTTTGCATTTTAAAATGAGATCTCCGGTGATTTTAACATTAGCCTCGTACGTAAAAACAGCCCAGATTAACGTAGATGGAGCCGTAGTGTGAAGGGAGGGCTCGTGGGTGTCGTCTGGGGACCTGCATGAGATCGGGAGCCTGGCCCGCCGGCCGGCCAGCCCCGGCCACCGTCTCCTTCGCTCTAGGCTTGTGTCGGGGTGATGCTGGTGGGCCCGACGGGTGGAGGGAAGACGGCGGTCAGGAGGATTCTGGAAAGAGCGCTGACGCTGTTGCCCACGGAAGATGTGCTGCCGCCTGAGGACAGGGACTTGACTTCACAGGTAAACGCTCTGCGAAGGAAAACGTTTCTCTCTGTGTCGATTAAGATCTGATTTTATGTCTCAGTCCCATTATATGTTCCCTTTGCATAAGCTGTTCTGTGCTTGTTCAGTTTATTTCTAGAAATTTTGTCGTTAGGCGTCATTGGTAGTGGATGGGCTTTTTTCATTTGAGTCAGACTGGTCATTGCTGGCATAAAATAGGATGACGGACTTACATGTTTATTTTATACTGAGTCGCCTTAGTTAACGGACTGGCAAGTTCTAATTTTTTTAGGTACTCAACTGAACCATCTTCAGATGAATATAGTTTTGCCTCTTTTCTAATTATGTAATTANTTGACGGACTTACATGTTTATTTTATACTGAGTCGCCTTATTTAACGGACTGGCAAGTTCTAATTTTTTTAGGTACTCAACCATCTTCAGATGAATATAGTTTTGCCTCTTTTCTAATTATGTAATTATTATATTCTCAACTTATTGCCTTGATTAATCCTCCCAAACAGTGTTAACTATAGTATCTCGTGCCTTTATCTGGAATGCAGTTAATATTGCTGCATCTAATAGGATGTTTACTCTTGGCCTATGATAAATATTCTTTATCATACTTTGGAAATTTTTTCTATTCTCATTATGCTTTGGTTTTTGATTCCTAGAATTTAGGAAATGATTTTCAGCATCTATTTTATACATATATATATATATTAAAAATATCTATTGATTTCAGAGAAGAGAGGAAGGGAGAGGGAGAGAGAGAGAAACATCAATGATGAGAGTCATTGATCGGCTGCCTCCTGCACGCCCCCTGCTGGGGGAATCGAGCCCGCAACCCGGGCCTGTGCCCTGACTGGGACTCGAACCACAATCTCCTGGATCCTAGGTCGATTGATGCTCAACCGCTGAGCCACACCTGCCAGGCTATTTTTTGTGTTTTAATTGGTTAATGTGCTAAGCTGTGATGATAGATTTACTAATGTTTCGTGATATTTTTTCATTCGGTATAAAGTTAGACTCCAGTGCGTAGTGTGTCCTTCAGTGATCTTATCTAAGGAAGTGTCTGCCACTTTTTCCCACTGAGATCCTAGAGTAGGTGGCACGGACTTCAGTTATTCAGGTAGCCCTGGGGTCGGTCTGAGGGCCAGTTGTGACCTGACGCTTAAGCTCTGTCAACTCTCCGTCACCTCCACACCCGACCCCGGTGCCAGACATGCCACGTCCCAGCTCGTCTATTGTATTCCTGGACGAGGCACAGTGGAGTTTTTTCTCATTGTTTTTCTAGGGATATTATTTGTAATGGCTAGGATTTTTAAAATAATGATCTGAATATTACGGCTGATTTCAATACATCAATTTTTTATTGTTCTTGGAAATTGCTACCTTTATACAGAATCTTTCCTCAAGCAGAAAGGCCTCTCCTAAAACACTTTGGTAATAGCAGTGCAAAAAAATTAAATAATTGTACCGTAGTTAATGTCTTTAAAAACCATGCTGGATTTTTCTTAGACTTCAGGAAGAAAAGGAAAAGTGGATATTTGTATTTTAAATCCAAAGTGTATCACTGTTAGTGAGCTATACGGGCAACTGGATCCTAACACTATGGAATGGACCGACGGACTGTTGTCAGCAACAATCCGAAATTATGTATATAGCAACACTACGTGGAATTCAAAGAAAGACACCGATCTCAGACTGAAGTCGTCAACCTTAGAGTCGTCTAATGTAAGTGTAGTACGGAGTGATCATTTTTATTTGACTGTTGTGGGTTATTTCATTATTTAAAAGAACTGATATCAAAGCGTCATTAAATACCAGGGTAAAAGCAAGTATAAAAATTATCATCAGTTTTTAAAAAAGAGAAAAATTAAGCTATTAAAAAAAAAAATCACATTGTGTTTTAAAATGGTCGGTAAATGACAAAATGAGGTTAAAGATGCTTGCTTTTCAGGGAGCACAGAGTGGATCAAGCAGTGATTCAGATGCCACCCCTCTACCTTACAAATGACCAAGTACAGAAATACTTTAATAGAAAAATGAAGAAAGCATTTGATACGAAGTTCATCAAAAACTAAATATGAATAGCAAAAATGTTTTTCGAAAAGTTCTCAGTAATCAAGTAGAGATGGTTTGTTTGTGTCTTCTTAATACTCACCCGAGGAGGAAGGATGTTTTCCTTCCCCATTGATTTTTAGAGAGAGTAGAAGGAGAGGAAACGGGGAGAGAGAGGCGTCGATGTGACAGAGACGCACACGGATTGGTCGCCTCCCGCACGGGCCCTGGCCAGGGGCGGGTTCGGGCCTGCAGCCCCGGTACATGTCCTTGACAGAGACTCGAACCCGCGACCCTTCGGTGCGTGGGCCGACGCTCTAGCCACTGAGCCACACCAGCCGGGGCCGCCTTTTCTTATTTTTATCACAAAGGAAAGCATATTGACATACCGTCCATTTTAGTTGGAAAGTGCGATCAAATAAAAATGTAAACTTTATCGGTAACTTATTTTAGGTTTTCCAGCTCCATGCCTGGAATCCAGCAGATGTTCATGGTAATATTTTTAAGAAGGAGATGGAGAAAGATGTTAAAATGACAGAAAGTGAGAGTAAGTAGTATTATTAAATTTAATACAGATGATTAATGAACATAAAAGACAAACTGAACCAACCTGAGCTTTGTTTGTGTTTTTAGAATATTTTTGATTAGTGATATTTTGTTCTTGTACTGTTAATTTTCCCCCGGGTGCTTACCTACAATTTGTCTAATTTCACCATGTTATATTACAGTGCGTGCATATATAATTATGTTATATAAATACCAGAGCTTACACAGCCCTTTTAGGTCATACCAAGTAAACATTACAGGTAAAAATAACTCTCGCGTGAGAAGCAGCAGAGGCGAGCCACAGTAGTATTGCCAAGCGTATTCCGTTTGGGGGAGCACAGCGATCACACATAGTTAAGTTTCCCTCAGAGGGTTTTTAAGAAGNTGATCACACATAGTTAAGCTTCCCTCAGAGGGTTTTTAAGAAGGTCCCCGAGGCAGGTGTCTCGGCCCATCTTGGCAGTGGTGGCCTCTGGGCCCTACCTCTCCCCTCCTGTTCTTCTGGGATATTTCGGTGTCTTTTTAGTGGCTAACTACTGTCTCCATAGTGACCCCTTCCTACCTCCCCTGTCCTGCCTGACGGATTTCCCAGGAGCAAGGTGACAGGTCTAGAGGGCGTCAGGAGGAGCAAGGGGGCTCCCAGTGTGAAATGCGCCCAAATCCACCTGAGCCGTCTGCAAAGGACGCCTGCTTCCCGCAGGCAAAACAGTGCCTGGGTGGGAGGGGAGCCCCACAAACCATATCAGGGGAAAGGTTAATTCATGGCTCTCTCTCTTATCCAAAATTTAGGGGCTAATTATACAATCCAGCTAAGAATTGTATAATTACAATTATGCAATCACAATTGTCTAAGAATGTCGAAACAGCGTTTAAAGCGTTATTAAGTACGTGGTAGGAATATTTATTCGTATTTAACAGGCATTAGAGATCACACACAAACACATCCCCTCTAGTCATCTTTCATATTAATTAGAAAGTATTTTCTCAATAAAACAGAGTATTTGCAAGATTGTAATGAAGGATGACTGAGGTTCTTCTCAGTTACACTGAACATGTTTCCCTCCAGAGTTCGANATGATCACACACAAACACATCCCCTCTAGTGTTTTCTAGGCCGTCATCTTTCATATTAATTAGAAAGTATTTTCTCAATAAAACAGTATTTGCAGGATTGTAATAAAGGAAGACTGAGGTTCTTCTCAGTTACACTGAACATGTTTCCCTCCAGAGTTCGACTGGCAGTGGGTCGTCTTAGATGGCCCAGTGGACACCTTTTGGGTGGAAAGCCTGAACTCCATGCTGGACGAGACTCGGACGCTGTGCCTAGCGAACAGCGAGAGGATCGCCCTGACCAATAAAATCAGGGTGATCTTCGAAGTGGACAGTCTCTCTCAGGCCAGTCCTGCTACTGTGAGCCGATGTGCAATGGTCTACATGGTGCGTTTTCAAAATGAAATTTCTTAGACAAAATGTATTGGTGAGGGTAATAACCCGTCACTATCTGCAGCACTCCTGATGTGAGTGGTCCCAGTAGTTAAAAGTGCGCGTCCCCTAAAGGCTCCTAGCCCAGAAGTGAACCTGAATGGAATTACTGCTGTTAACACTGCTCCTAATTGGAATGTCATACTTTTTTCCCACAACTGTGAGTAAGTCATGCCTTCAACAGACAGGGTAGGCGGCTGGTAGGAATTACTTTTCCAGTGGAGGAAAGCCTGCCCGAGGCCTTTCCACACCCACTCCGTGACTCTCAGAACCTGGGAAGCACGTTACCAAGAGGGTGGTGAAGAGGTAGGAGACAGAGCCAGGAGAAAGAGTGTTCTCTGCGTGAAATTCATGATTAGGTGCTATGAGCCCTCTGTTCCGATCTACAGGACTCGGTGTGGTGGATGATGCCAAGTGCGGGGCTGATTTTCTGGGGCAGCAGCTCTTCTTAACACATGCACGAGGCCCCAGCATCCCTCTCTGCACGTAACCCCCCAAACACTTGTCAACTTGTAGGACTGTCGTTAAAAATCACAGATATCTCAGAGAAAGGGTAATTCTTGAAGCTTTTCTGATCACTTGCCCTTTAATGAGTGATGATTCAAACCCACGTTTGGCAGTGGTGAATTAAAAAGATGGCAGGAAAAACAGCGGACACTATATATATTTACATAAAGTCATCTTGTGTTTTTTTATTGGTAGGATCCTGTTGATCTGGGATGGGAGCCGTATGTTCAGTCATGGCTTTCAAAAACGTCTAAAATTATGAGTCAATCAGGAGTGGATTGTCTTGAATTCTTGATAAAAAACAGTGTCAAAGATGGACTACAGTTCATAAAGAAACGTCAGAAATTTCAGCCATTTCCCGTGCAGGACATAACAATCGTTACAACTCTCTGCAGAATTCTTGATGCTTTCTTTGAATTCATGGGTAAAAACGGAGGCTTTGGACAATGTGAGTTCTTGCTCCCTGAGTCACACTAATGATGCTATATGTTAGCTAGCTAGCTAGTTAGTTACCACCTTTTATTAGATTTTATAAAAGAAAGGCTGGCCTGGGATTTTCAGTCTACTCGAATCAAAAGCAGACATACACATGAAACAAGCTAAAAACCATTTCTAGAGGGGATGGCAGTAAAGTAAAATCATGTTGCACAGAAATGTTGACAGGTCACAAGGAAGAAGAGTATAAAGAATCCTTATGGGATCTCCGTTAGGGAAGACTGTTTCTGCATGTTTTAAAAACTCTTAGAGACATGAATAGTGGGGGGCAAAGCCTGTTCAGAACCCAAGGTGTAAACTACAGTCATGCAAAGGCATGGACATGGAAAGTGGTAAAATATCTGTCAGGAGCAATCGGGTTAAGAAAACAGGAAAGCATTGTGGCTGACGCGTGGCCCTGAGCGAGTGCCTGCATTCGGGCACGGTTCTGCCTGGCTCCTGATGAGACAGCAAGTGAGCAGGGGCTCCCAGCTCTCTCTCCAAAACCCTGTTTTAACACAAAGAAAACAAACATGATCTTAATCAGCTCAAAGGAAGAACGAGTAATCACTCATTCTTTGTGTTTCTCTGTGGAACGGATGACTTGGACCGAAAGGGTGGGTGATCGGCCCACAGTGCGCCTGTTTGAAGTTCATTTTGATACATGTCTTATTTGAAAGCACACAGGTTTCTTTGAGGCTCCACTTTATTAGCACCAATCGATCCTTTAGTTTGCCACGTGTACCATATGTGGAGGTGGTCAGCCTGAATGTTTTAAAGCTTTCATTTTGGAAGGAACAAACTTACAAAACAGTTACCAGAGTAGAATGAAGAACCCAAGTATGCAGATTCATGCTTCAAATTCATGCTTCAAGTATGCAGATCCAGGATCGATTCAGACAGGTGCAGGTCTGCTCCCCTTTTCTTAGAAAAGTAACCCCCACTTAAGTAGGCCAGGCAAGATGACTCTGAGGTCCTGCATAGAAAGCAGAGATGTTCTCCAGTGACGATTCGCGAAGCAGTGCTAAAAGTTAAACCTCACTGATTGATCAGCTAAACTTTAAGTCCTGTTGCTTGTGGAAAAATACTCTTTCCTCTTTAAGGTGGAGATGTGAACTGCGTTTCAACTGAGAAGAAAAGTTCTCCGTTTTCAAAAGGTTCTGTCAAATTCAAGGACACGGAAAAGAGGTCAGTTACATTCATTCCACAAGCATGTTCTATACCTTCCAGGTGCTAAATGCTCAAATAGGCACAAAATTACTTGTCGGTAAACCAATACTTTTATGACTTCATGACATCAAAATCTACTTAAACTTATTTTATTCCAGCTTAGATAGCATCTTGTATTTCTAATACAAGATCACCAGATTTTTATGCTAAGTTATATGAATTATGTAAATACATTGGTACAGACCATACATATTTGATAAAGAAATAAAATTGGCATGAATATATTTTATGAATCTACCCTCTGAGCTGAGAAATATTGAACCAGTTACTAGTGACTTTTGAGCTTTTATTTTTCTCATTTAAAAAGCTGGAATAATGTGATGTGTGGTTGGTGCATAGAATAGTGCCTGGTGCATAGTAAGTGCTCAATAAATTATAACTACAGAAGCTACTAACTCTGCAATTCTTCTGCCACTTGTAGGACAGGGAGGTCACTGTTGAGGCCTTCCTACATCTCGCTGTGAGTCCCTGGTCTCACTTGCTTTTGCTTTTCAGTGACAGGACATTCTTAATATGGCCTTTACTCTGCCCGTCAACTCTACCTTCAGGTTCACTCATTTGTGTACATCTTACGTACCAGCATCCTACCCAAACCTTCATTATTTCTTTCCTGTGCTGTTGTAATAGACCAGGAATTGGTTTCCCCAATTCTTCCAGTCCATTTTCAGCATAACCATATATTATTTTTAATTCGTATTAAATAGCAAGTAACCATAGAATAAGTAGGACTGTCACAATTTACCCATTGATAAACATACAAGGGTTGTTTTCCATTTTTGTTATTACGAATGCTACTGTGATTAATATGCTAGTACATGCCTCCTGATATTTATAGGCAAGAGTTTGATTTTTTTTTTTTAAACACGTAAATTAGAATGTTTCTTTTTATAGTCATTTAATGACTTCCCATTACACTGAAAATGAAGGGGAAATGCCTTGGTAGCGCTTTAAAGGCCCTTCCTACCTCCCCAGCCTCACCCCCTAATCTCTGCCGCTCACTGTGTGTGTCCTTCAGTGACCCTGGTCAGTTTCCCTTTTCTGTTTCTGAGACGAGCCGTGATCCTTTGACCTCATGGTCTTGGCACATACACTTCTCAAATACTCTTCCTCCCACATGTTGCCCAATCTCACTCATTCTTCTGGTCTCAGTTTCACTTTTGCTTCCTCAAAGAGGCCTTCCCTGATTGCCACAATCTAAGTAAGTTCCCTCTACTGCTGTTCTCTGTGGCATGTTGGACTCCGTTTTCTTGTCCTGAAAATAAGGGATCGTGTTTGTTTTGTTTAGAGTAACTGATACATAGTCAGAATTCAATATTTGCTGAATAAACTATTACACATGGCTAGAAATTTCAAACAGAATTGTACACATGCATTGTCCACTAACGGTTGCCAGCAAACGTCAGTTCAGTGATATATTTTTAGGATTTTTATAACTTACAAATGATTTTATGATAATGCTAAATCCTGAACTGTTTTAAATGTCTTCAGGTCAGGCCCCAACGTTTTGTTCAGTCCCATCACCCTCAGCTTCACTATAGAAGTTCAGGGCCCCAAAGACCAGGGTGACCTGGGTTGACCCAAACTGGAGAAGACTCTCCCCAGGCTCACACTACCTGGCGTCAGCCAGATTGAATGAAGTCAACCCTAGGACTCGGTTAAGAGGCGACCATCGTGAAGACTGTTCTCTTGCCTCGCTACGTAAAATGCAGAGAGGTCAGACCCTCTTCCAAAAGACAAGTAAACGCTCAGCTACTAAACTGACCTAAACTAAAAATGAATCGTACATACTTAAATAAATAAAAGTGGACAACAAATCTCTTACACATACGGTACTTCGAAAAGAACAATAGTAGCAGGTGTATAATTTACATGACTTACGGAAGGAGAATTATACATTAGCTTTAAAATCTTTGTCAGCCCTTAATTACTATAATTTTTAATGATGAAATTTTGAAAAGATACTAAGATAAGTGACTGAATGCTTTCGAAACGTTTTAACCTTCCCATGTGTCTCCTCCAGGGCGGATGAAAATACCTGGTACCTGGAAAAACATCCTGATAAATTAAAGATGCTGATTCAGAAGCTGTTCATCTTTGCGTTTACTTGGGCGTTCGGAGGGACTTTAAAACGGGAAGATGAGCATGAAAGTGATACGCTGTTGTATTCAAGCTTCGAACCTGCTCCCCATGCCAGAGTAACCTACGATTTTGACAACTTTGTTCATGAATTATTTGAAAACAATTCCCAAGTAGGTAAGCTCTGGGAGGGAAAGGCCATAATTATGCTTCCTTTGGCATAGAAATTGGAAACTCTGTGGCTGGGCTTACATTGATTAGGCCCATCTTCTAAAGTGTGAACATTAAAGGCAATAGAGGGTTAATAAGTACATTTCAACACCCTTTCTCCGGTGAAATGAGGCTGGAGGAACTTAGACCCCTGGCGGCTACAAGAAGCTGTAACTCGGAGGCAAAGTAAAGGGCCCGGGAACTGCGCGCTCGGCCAGGCGGGCCTGTTGTGCCATCAGCGTACAGCGGGACCTTCACAGGGTTGCTGTAGCCTCACGTTTCTTCTTTGACACAAAAAAGGCAACGATGTGAGGCGATGGAACATTCACCTGATTGTGGCAATCGCTTCACGGAACGTGTGCGTCACATCATCACATTGTACACCGTAAACTGACACAGTATTTTGTGATTTGTGTCTCAGTAAAGCTGGAAACATAAAACGGTTTTAGATCAGGGACACCAAGCATTTGCATGGAGGCAGAGCAGCAGGGACTTCATTTTGCTGAATGTGGGATGAAAAGATACAGCCACTCTGGAAAGATGAAATCGCCATCTGACCCACATTTCACCCCTAGATGTTTATTCTAGAAAAATGGAAACGTATATTCACACTAAAACCTGCGCACACATGCTTATGGCAGCCTTTTTCATAGTTGAGAAAATTGGTAACATCTCAGATGTTCTTTAATGGACGAATGGCTAAAAAAACTGTGGTACGCCTACACAGTGGAATACTACTCGGCAATTAAAAAGGTTAACTATCGATGGAATGATGGGGAACAGTGTGTGCGAATCTTACATGCGTTATGCCAGGTGAAAGAACTCAGTTTCAAAAAGCTAGACACTGTATGATTCAACTTATATAATCCGGAAAAAGCAAAATATAAAAATAGAGAACAGATGGGTGGTTGCCAGAGGTTAGGGTGGGTGGAAGGGCCTGAGTGCAGAAGGGCAGCACGAGGGAGTCCTTTAAGGTTCTAGAATTGTTCTGGCTCCTGTCTAGCGTGGTGGGTACAAGGTTACATGCATGTGGTAAAAAACTCATCAACTTGTATACCCAAAAGGTGAATTGTACTCTATGTAAAAATGTCATCAATGATTTAAAGGAATATATCGGATATGAACAGTTATCTTCCTATGGATGGTGAAACCATGGATAATTTTTTTTTTTTTTTTTTGCTTTATTCTGTATTCTCCACAATCTATTAAGAACATTCATTACCTTCACAATAGTGAAGTAAATGTAACTTGCAAGTAGTTATCAGGATTCTCGAATGTGTTGGTTTGGCCACAAGCCGCACGTCGCTGGCTTTTGATAAAGCCCGGCACCCGGTGCAATGAGCAGGACTTCCGAGTGAGGTTTCTGAGGATGTCAGACCATGACTCACCTTGCTTTCCACACACAAAAAAAGACAAAGCTAACAAAACGTGGCTTTTGTACAATTAAAGATGGGAAGATAACATGGGCTCATTTTACACGTTTGGATATACCCTTGGTGAATGATTTGTTATTTCTGGTTCAACAGCCAAATCTTTCAAATGGAGGTCATATCGTCACGGAAAGATTCCGTAAGTGTAACTTCAACTTCCCTGGGACTGACTTACATATTTTTTTTATTTGTTATTTTCAAATGTAGGCATTACCCTGCCAACTGGCGAACAGTCCATCTTTGGGTATTTTGTGGATTTACAGCAATGCGAATTCATACCGTGGTCAGAACTACTTCCTAACGCTCAGACGCTGCTTCAGAGAGGTAAGAAGTGTTATAAGGAATTACACTCGAATTTCTCTAAAATACTGGGAATACACTGTATGTAAAAGTGCTGTAGTTATGTCAGCAACTGTGAGGGCTGATGAATCCCAAGCCTGCGCAGGGGCCAGTTTAGATCTGCAGGGTGGGGCAAAAGTAGTTACCCGGTTGCTTGTATTGAAAATGATACAATAATTAATAAATCATCCAAGAACAAATTGTGTTTCATATACTCAGGAATGTAAACCTACACTTGCCCCACCCACCCTGTGTGTTTACAAAACATACTTTAAAAAAACACACACCACACAGCCCTCGAACATCACCTCCTGAGACAGTTGGATTGTCTTTCACTGAGTCGGTAGCACATTGTAAAACCATCTAGCTCACTGAAAGTCTTACTAATGGGAATATTTATTACTTTACTTCGCTGTGATTATTGAAAGGCGAAAAGGGAGAAAGCCTCTAAAATAGGGAAAACATGTAAATACTACACTCGGCTGTAAGGGAAACTTTAAATGAGAACAGAACAATTGTAGTTCGGCGAGTATCCGTATGTGCTGCGTTTCCATTCTCCGGTCTGCAGGATAGTAGGAAAAAGACAGGACACTGTGGTGGTCTGAGGGCCTGGTCGAAGCCTGAGGCAGGCACTTAGCCCCCAAGCTTCATGTAGATTCTTGCAAATATAAGAAATTCAGGCTGCAAGTTGAATTAAATTGCCTTGAGGTTGGGTTTCGCTCATCAGAAAATGTCCAAGTTTGGTTGTAAGAATTCCGACAGGCAACGCCCAGAGCTGCGGGAATCGTAAGGCATCCAGAAAGTTCTAGCTCCAGATGCATTTCAGCCAGAGACACCGAGGGTCTGTTACGCGTACCTGTCACGGCCATAGTGGCCGGTCGTGTTTATTTAACCCTTTGCGGTCGTATTAAATTTGGACATGGGTGTCGTACTGGTCGGAATTAAGAGCTTTCAGAGAAATTATGAACTGATACATGAATGAATAGTTAGGATTCGTACGGTTCCTTGCTGTGGTGGCTGAGAGCAGACATACGACCGCAAAGGGTTAAAACCTGCGACTGGCCTGTCGTGCATTAGTGCGGACACCGGACACCGGGTCATTTTCCCCTTGGCTCCTATGGCTGTGCAGGAAAGCACAGCCGGGCACCGATGCGGGTCACGCCGCCTCAGAGGCCGCCGTCGGAGGGGGGGGACCAGTGCTGATTTCTGCACAGATGGGGACCAGGAGACAGGGCCCGGGCGGGGAGGAAAGAGGCTGACGGTGCATTGCACGCCATGGAAATGTGTGAGCTGTTCACTTTTTAATTTAAAAAGCGAAGGAAAGATGAAGAAGTGAGGCTCTGTTATACTGACCCCTGTTGAGAGTTTTGGCTGTGCCCCAGGGGAGAGAATTGGGGTGGTGCTAGGAAGCCGTGGGACCAGGGAAGATTTGGTTTAGTTTTGAGTTTGGCGGGGGCTGTGTGTGAGTGTGTGTGTTGTTTCATATGAAATTGCCTATATTCACTTGGCTTTTACTAAGAAAAATGTCAATTCCACGTGGTTCAATCAATAGAGAGATTGGCGCTACTGGCCCGTACATGTTTGTGCCATGGAAAATGGCAGGCGATGGGGGGCAGAAGGGTCACCGGAGAAGCGAAGCTCTTTCTGAGGGTCGCGGGAGCCTTGGGCAGGTGCTGCGTTTTGCTGCGGGAAGGAGTTGCAGCGCCTGGGGGGGCAGGTGACAGGCCCTGCGGGACAGTCCGAGTTCCCCGGCTCAGAGCGTGAACGGGAGGGACAGCTTCTGCGATCAGGAGGGGCCCTCGGGCACTCGCAGCAACTTTGGCTTCTTTGTGTATGTTTAAATTGCTCCAAATGTACCCGCCTCTCCAGAAAGCATTTAGCACCTAAAAGATGAAGTGAGCGCTGACGGACAGGTGATCAGAAACTCTGCTTGACGCTTTAACTTAGGGACTTCCATACTAGCAGATCACCAGGGATCCAGGGACAACCTCCTGAAGATCAGAGAGTATGGGGAGAGCGTCAACCACATGGCCACCAGGGACACCATATGCCTCTCCTTCCTCATCAGCCTCCTTTTAAAGAATTTCTGCCCCGTGCTTCTCACAGGTACTAAAAATATTGAAAGGAGGGGAGTTCCAGCGCTGGGAGGCGGCTTAGTCACTATTGTGCACCCATGTTATTGTAGAAGTTGGTAAAAAAAGGCCCTGAAAAGCTTTCCGTTCCTACCTGCAGCACATGGACGCACATTTGCACACATTGGCCGGCACAGGGCCCCAGGCGCCCTTTGCAGTGTTTCTTCAGCTCCGCGACAAATCCCAGCAGAACCGTGGGGTTAATAATATACGTGTCCGCAGGCTGAGGTCCTCAGAGGGCCGCCGGTGGTAGTCCTGTCGGCTGGTTTAATTAAATGGACACACACAATTGCGTGCAAAGAAAAGCTACAAATCAATTGCCCGATTTAAAAGACTATTACGCGCATAATTCCTCAGGCCAGTGTTAGAATTCCTCAGGCCTCGACCATTGCCGGAGGAATAATTCAGTGCAGCTCCTGCTCTTCTGTAACATTTATTTTCAACCCCTTCAGGCACCTTTTCCAACTCTTCCTACTCTTCCTACGTCTGTTGCCTTTCACCAGAGACACCAGCATCCCCTTCCCCGTTCAGGCCAAGTGAAGCTGGGATGCTCAGGCAGACCTTATTATTTTCCCTCCAGTTTGGACTAAGGAAACTCTTTTCCTTACTATTTGGTGAATTTAAGTCATGGCCCCCTGTCCTGCCGCCATAAGGGGTTGGTTCCAGTCCCCCCCCCGCCCAGACTAATGGTAAAAATTTCCAGGGCAGTTAACCTCGTGCAGTGGTTCTGCTGTGCTGTAGGCAGGACTGCCTGTGAGGGGTGTAAATGAGCATTACAGAAAAATAATGGCTACTACGTTCTTTCGAGAGAGATGTAAATCATTTAACTACTTGGAGAGGTTTTCATACTAACTGCTTGGCCCACCCACTCCTAACCACAGTTTGTTTGTTTTTAAAGTAGGAGCAAAAACATGCTTTTCATGCAGTTTTCAAATGAAGGGAAATGTTATTGCCTCCCTTTGATGTGCTGGCAGCTGTTCGTTTCCTTGCACACAAGCCTAACCGAACGCATCTCTCCCTTCTGTTAGGAGACTTTGGCGTCGGGAAAACGACCGCCATCAATCAGATGCTTGCACAGTTGGAGGGCTCCGGAGGCTTCCGTGTGAAATACGGGTCAATTCTGGGAGAAGTCCTATTATATAACGAAATTAAAAAGTCAAGGTAGTATTCTTTGCACTCTTAAGTTTGATTTGCCTGGTAAGAAAAATTTAATGTCTAACTGTGCCTTGTTATGTAAAAATGCAGAAGTGTGGATAAGAGGAGTTAAGGAAATCTTCACTTCTCCAAAGTACTAAAATTAATTCCTGTGCATGAGAAATTCTTACATTTATTTTAAATATAACTAAATTTAAATTTTGAATTTTTAACCTAACAAAGTGCAACTATAAACCATTTTCCTTCCTGGAAAAATGTACCCGAATAAAAGGTTGCGTAGAATTGGTTTTGTTTGCGTTAGAAATAGATTCCCTTCTTACCAAATATATAAATATATAAAGAGCCGTGTCTCTGTCATTCTGTATGTCTCTTCCTGGAGGGGAAAAAAAAAAAAAAGACAAATCTAAATTATGCAAATAAAAAATCCAAAATTTGAAAGTTAATTCCCATTCTGTTAAAATATTAGAGAAGCCTGCTGTTGTTTGAATGGAATGAAAGGGAGTTTTGGAGGGGCCCGCAGCGGACCTTTCCTCTGATCTTTAGACTCATAGACCCAGCGGCCTGGGTCCCGCGCTCACGGTGGCCACAGCCACTCTTCTTGTCAGGTCTGTTCTGCTTCACACACCTCGAATTCCACTGCGTCTCTCCCCAGTGTCGCCTTTAGTCCCAGACACCGTCATCTGCGTCTTACACCAGCTGGTTTGCAGTGGATCTTCCTACACTTAAGGCCTTAAAAACCAGAGAAATCATTTTTNCGAGAAGGCCTTAAAAACCAGAGAAATCATTTTTGAAACATTTGCTACAAGAAGAATCATTCCTTCTCTAAGTTATTATAATCATAAATAATGGAGTCTGGAAAAAATAAATTTTATTCTGTGTTCAATATTTAAACTGCAGTGGATTTTAACGATAAGGAAAGATACCATAGGGGGGAAAGTACCTAGAGACAAAACCAAAATAAAGGTGAAGGGCCTTTTGTTAAGGGACCCGTAAGGCAAATGTATTTGTAAAGGAACAAATGAGTTCCTGGCCTGCTTTCCGAAGGAAATACCCAGTAGCCTGGCACCCTAGGAACCTTCCCAGTTTGTTTTTTAGAGTAAGTCCGTGTTTCATTAACTTAGGGTGTCAGTTCTGATGGTGACACTAATCTGATCTGTAAAAGTGGGAAACAGGGAAAAGGCATTTGTTTCCTTGTAGGAGACAGAAGTCAGATCAACTACGCGCTGGCTGATACTTTCATTTTATTTTGTGCCTACAGCTGCCAAGGTAGATAAGCTAACTTTGAATCCTTAAACCGTTTTGTGTGTTTTTTTATTCCAATAGCCTGAGGCAGAACATCAGCCTCCTGCTTTCGGAAACTCATAAGGCAGCGGGGAGCCAAGGTGCGTAGTTACAGTCCCTTCGAAACCTTCCCCTCTCGGCGAGTCGCAGGCCGCCCTGTGCTCAGAAACCTCAGCATGGGAAGCTCAGTTGACAGTTTCAGATAAAACACCCTGGAAGCTACCCAGGACCCTCCAGAACTGCCCTGTCCCCCTGCTCGGGAGCCGGCTGTTCTCGCGGGGGGCTGTCGTGTCTGAGCCCCACGGGGCTCTGGCAGCAGCAGCCGGGCCTCCCCTTGGATGCTTTCAGAAGCAGTGCGGCCTTTGGGAGCCACAAGGCCCTTCCGAAGAGGAGAAGGTGGGGTGGCCCGGGCACAGCTGTAAAGGGGGGGAGCCTGCCTGCCCCGGGTTCCGCCAGCAGAGGCTGTCGGTTTGGGGCCTTTTGCTACAGAACCACCCCAGTGGATGCTCCTCACTCAGAGATGTGCCCTGATTCCAGTGCCTTTGGGGGACACACACACCAGCTGCCTCCTTTGAGATCTTGCACGTGCAGTTTAATAATTATTAACAGCATATCGCGAAGCTAAATATTTCTAAAGCATTGAGAGTGATCTGTGTCCGTTGTGCATCAGTGAAGGGAAGGTTCCCTGAGCTTCCACACTCTTGCCCTTGGCTGTGATTGCGGAGAGACACCCCGGTTCCCTCCTAAAAGTCAGGAGTATCTGGAAACATTTCCAAGTTGCCATTCCTCCCCTCACGGATTTGTCCTCGGAGTAATTTCTTTACAACGACAAGAATATAGTAAAGTGAGGTGATTTTTATGTTTCCTAGCACGTGTCAGAGTAAAGCAGACGTGTGCTGGAAGTGCTCTAACCTTGTTTTTTGTCTTCCCATCTTTGGCATCGCAGATAAGGTTACTAAGAAGCCAGAAAAAACTGATGTAAGTTCATTTAAAAAAGAGAGAAAAGAAGTTACCGTCTCTACGATAAATTTTGGCATCAAAATGACGGCTGCCAAAACCAAGGAGGTGATCCTGAAGTTAAGGAGAAGACTGAAGAACACGCTGGGAGCACCCGAAAGCAGCAGGGTAGGGCGCCCGGGCTCGCCCGCTAACCTGCTTGCGCCACCCGGGTCACCGTGACTTGTTTTAGTCAACACTAATAAACGGAAAACGGAAGCGTGGCCTGCACTCCTGTTACTATAAAATGCACTTTAAGTGGGAGTTTAGGTTTTCAGATCAATGTCATTCGTTTTCCCAACGTGATGAATTGCGGTGATTCGGGATGACTGAAGCCAGAGAAGCTCCTGGAATCTGAGTTAGACACGAGGAGACGAGTTTTGTTACTGTGCGTTTGACCACGTGCTCCTGTGGCCGTGGCCTGGGAGGGACAATTGCAGTTTACAGCCGGTGATTCCGGCTCAGCGCCATGAAATAAGCCCCAGATCCAGGGATTTGCAGGCATCGTTAATAAGCTCACGTGCGTCCTTGGGGACATCTGAGTTTAACCCCTGTGGCTGTCAGTTTCAAAGCCTTTAAGGGTGTACTTCAGATTTCCTTGATTTTTAAATGAAGATCTGGATAAATTTGGTGGGTCTTTGCAAGTTGGGTATATTTTAGGGACTTTGGAAAGGACAGTAATGGCTCAGCCAAGTCACACACATGAAGACATGTAAGCAAAAGAAATTTGGTTCAAACCAGTTTGTCTATAAATCATCCGGCCTGTGGTCCAAAAGCGGGGGAAATGGAGTGTCTTACTAAAAAATGGTATTGACAGTTACAAATTAGGTAATCAGGTAATTAAAAACAAGTGGCTATTTGTAGTTTTTCAATTCCTACTTGTTTGACAAAAATAAATAATAACCTGAGGGGGCCAGTGTGCACCGAGCGCGCAGTCTGAAGGGTGTGATCAGTGCTCTTCGGTGCGTAGTATCTTCCAAGGCAGAAAGGCAGGCAGGTTTAAAGGTNGAATCATTCCTTCTCTAAGTTATTATAATCATAAATAATGGAGTCTGGAAAAAATAAATTTTATTCTGTGTTCAATATTTAAACTGCAGTGGATTTTAACGATAAGGAAAGATACCATAGGGGGGAAAGTACCTAGAGACAAAACCAAAATAAAGGTGAAGGGCCTTTTGTTAAGGGACCCGTAAGGCAAATGTATTTGTAAAGGAACAAATGAGTTCCTGGCCTGCTTTCCGAAGGAAATACCCAGTAGCCTGGCACCCTAGGAACCTTCCCAGTTTGTTTTTTAGAGTAAGTCCGTGTTTCATTAACTTAGGGTGTCAGTTCTGATGGTGACACTAATCTGATCTGTAAAAGTGGGAAACAGGGAAAAGGCATTTGTTTCCTTGTAGGAGACAGAAGTCAGATCAACTACGCGCTGGCTGATACTTTCATTTTATTTTGTGCCTACAGCTGCCAAGGTAGATAAGCTAACTTTGAATCCTTAAACCGTTTTGTGTGTTTTTTTATTCCAATAGCCTGAGGCAGAACATCAGCCTCCTGCTTTCGGAAACTCATAAGGCAGCGGGGAGCCAAGGTGCGTAGTTACAGTCCCTTCGAAACCTTCCCCTCTCGGCGAGTCGCAGGCCGCCCTGTGCTCAGAAACCTCAGCATGGGAAGCTCAGTTGACAGTTTCAGATAAAACGCCCTGGAAGCTACCCAGGACCCTCCAGAACTGCCCTGTCCCCCTGCTCGGGAGCCGGCTGTTCTCGCGGGGGGCTGTCGTGTCTGAGCCCCACGGGGCTCTGGCAGCAGCAGCCGGGCCTCCCCTTGGATGCTTTCAGAAGCAGTGCGGCCTTTGGGAGCCACAAGGCCCTTCCGAAGAGGAGAAGGTGGGGTGGCCCGGGCACAGCTGTAAAGGGGGGGAGCCTGCCTGCCCCGGGTTCCGCCAGCAGAGGCTGTCGGTTTGGGGCCTTTTGCTACAGAACCACCCCAGTGGATGCTCCTCACTCAGAGATGTGCCCTGATTCCAGTGCCTTTGGGGGACACACACACCAGCTGCCTCCTTTGAGATCTTGCACGTGCAGTTTAATAATTATTAACAGCATATCGCGAAGCTAAATATTTCTAAAGCATTGAGAGTGATCTGTGTCCGTTGTGCATCAGTGAAGGGAAGGTTCCCTGAGCTTCCACACTCTTGCCCTTGGCTGTGATTGCGGAGAGACACCCCGGTTCCCTCCTAAAAGTCAGGAGTATCTGGAAACATTTCCAAGTTGCCATTCCTCCCCTCACGGATTTGTCCTCGGAGTAATTTCTTTACAACGACAAGAATATAGTAAAGTGAGGTGATTTTTATGTTTCCTAGCACGTGTCAGAGTAAAGCAGACGTGTGCTGGAAGTGCTCTAACCTTGTTTTTTTCTTCCCATCTTTGGCATCGCAGATAAGGTTACTAAGAAGCCAGAAAAAACTGATGTAAGTTCATTTAAAAAAGAGAGAAAAGAAGTTACCGTCTCTACGATAAATTTTGGCATCAAAATGACGGCTGCCAAAACCAAGGAGGTGATCCTGAAGTTAAGGAGAAGACTGAAGAACACGCTGGGAGCACCCGAAAGCAGCAGGGTAGGGCGCCCGGGCTCGCCCGCTAACCTGCTTGCGCCACCCGGGTCACCGTGACTTGTTTTAGTCAACACTAATAAACGGAAAACGGAAGCGTGGCCTGCACTCCTGTTACTATAAAATGCACTTTAAGTGGGAGTTTAGGTTTTCAGATCAATGTCATTCGTTTTCCCAACGTGATGAATTGCGGTGATTCGGGATGACTGAAGCCAGAGAAGCTCCTGGAATCTGAGTTAGACACGAGGAGACGAGTTTTGTTACTGTGCGTTTGACCACGTGCTCCTGTGGCCGTGGCCTGGGAGGGACAATTGCAGTTTACAGCCGGTGATTCCGGCTCAGCGCCATGAAATAAGCCCCAGATCCAGGGATTTGCAGGCATCGTTAATAAGCTCACGTGCGTCCTTGGGGACATCTGAGTTTAACCCCTGTGGCTGTCAGTTTCAAAGCCTTTAAGGGTGTACTTCAGATTTCCTTGATTTTTAAATGAAGATCTGGATAAATTTGGTGGGTCTTTGCAAGTTGGGTATATTTTAGGGACTTTGGAAAGGACAGTAATGGCTCAGCCAAGTCACACACATGAAGACATGTAAGCAAAAGAAATTTGGTTCAAACCAGTTTGTCTATAAATCATCCGGCCTGTGGTCCAAAAGCGGGGGAAATGGAGTGTCTTACTAAAAAATGGTATTGACAGTTACAAATTAGGTAATCAGGTAATTAAAAACAAGTGGCTATTTGTAGTTTTTCAATTCCTACTTGTTTGACAAAAATAAATAATAACCTGAGGGGGCCAGTGTGCACCGAGCGCGCAGTCTGAAGGGTGTGATCAGTGCTCTTCGGTGCGTAGTATCTTCCAAGGCAGAAAGGCAGGCAGGTTTAAAGGTTGGAAATGTCTGGATTCTCCGCTGGTTGTTCCTGACGACAGCATCCGCAGCGGGATTGCAGAGTCCGGTTCCAGGGGACAGTTTATTCCTAAACCAGGCACCTCCCTGCCTAAAGCAGTGCGCCCAGCGCGTCAGTGTTGAACGGGGGACGGTCACGCCAGTTCCTCTGCAGTAGCCACCTCCGGTCACTTTATCCAGCATCAGAAACATTTCTGTTGTCATCATGGGTCCATAGAGAATTGAGTCGAGTTTCTGCTGTTTCAAAAACTTACTGTTTTTCTAAAATCATATTAAAATAGAATTTGATCTGCTGCTTTTTAATTGAAAAAAGATACAGCATTACGTATAATTTTGTTCTTATGCCACGGCATAATTAATATCCCTAATTCATAGTTTAAAGACAGGCGATACTAATTAATACCTTTTAAACCCTCTGTCTTCCTGCAGATTGTCATGTTCATTGATGACCTGAATATGCCCGAAGCAGATATGTACGGAGCACAGCCACCCCTGGAACTAATCAGACAATTACTAGATTTGGGAGGAATTTATGATACTGAAAAAATTTCATGGAAGGTAAAGTTCATGTTTAATATTGTTACTTAGCAATAAATTAAATAATGGTAAACAATGTTGAGAAATTTAGAAAATCTAGTGAAATGGACATGTAGAGCAAAAAAAAAAATCAGCATGCCCATTACATCTTTGCAAGTTAGCACGTCAGCGGGTTCATAGAAATTCTACTTTGGGTAGGATTAAATCTTAGTAAAAACTGCAAGTATGTCCTATAGGTTTAGTTTCCGAATCAAATAGGGCTCACTACCGTTAAACACATTAATAGTTAATCAAATGTTTCAATATATCAGTAGCTAACGCATAGAAGAAAAACGAATCCCCACATAAGTCTACTCTCAGCTTTATTTTTCAAGAATATAGATCAAGGATTTCCAGAAATACTGCAAAGTTTAAAAAAAAATTCCCAGGGAGGAATTTCTGTGCAATTATTTTTGTTACATTGAGCCAAGTCAGAATGGCTTAAATTTTTTTTTTTAAATAAATGCATTCTCTTCTTACTTGGCTCCCTCTCTGGAAACATAGCCCCGTGTTCCAGAGCTGACTTTATCACCTAAGCATCCTGGGCCTCGGTTCCTCACCTGTAACGTTAGATGGTGGCATTGCAGAGTTGCCCACCTCAGGCCGGCCCAGGGCCCCGGGTGATGCCCACTGGCTGGTGAGTGGCACCAGAGAAGTTCCTTGAACTGCCAAGATAGTGAGGCAGGCTTCTCACGATGCTTCTGTGGGCATGGGCATGGGCAGGAACAAGGCTGCTGAAAGCACCCCACGGTGGGCAGACTGGATGATCGGGGTGATCCCACCCCGCTCCACAAGGCTGGGATGCTGCGGAGTGTAAACAGTCACGCGTCTTCTCAGCCCAGGCCAATCCTGGCTCCTCTGGGGACACCCCCCCCCCGGGTTTCTCACGCCACCAGAATCTGCTCCTCTGGCCTCAGCGACAGGTTGCTGCTTTTCCAACAACTGCTTTTTTAAAAAAAAAATAGGCTGCTTCCTGATGACATGCAGGAAGCTTCCTAGAAGCAGCATGTCTTGGAATGACATCCTAGGATGGGTGACTTCCGAGAAGGTGGGTTTCTGTGACCACCGTAATTTTTGTCTTGCTGAATATGGTCATCTTAATCTTAAACAATTTTCAATCTTTGGTCCATTCGGGGGAAATGGGAACACGCTTCGCTTTCTACAGATGCCTTGAGCTGCCCTCCCCGTTCACGCTCTCCACAGAATATTCAAGATCTCTCTCTCGTGGCAGCTTGTGTTCCTTCCATCGGGAGGAGGGATATTAGCCCGCGGCTCCTGAAGCATTTTTCCATCCTGGTCCTGCCTCACCCTCCACAGGTTGCCCTGCGTACTATTTTCCAGGTAACGCATCTAGCTCATGTTCTGCTGGGGGGGGAAAAAATAAAAGGAAATTCCACACTATAAGGGAAAATGGGAGAACTTCAGGTCACTGCTATTGAACAGAAATTCTCTGAAGGGCATGAGTTTTAGCTGTCCCTGTATATTTTTCTGGCCTGCTATTATAATTTGCCTCTAAATAGCAAAAACATAACAGTGTGTGTGTGTAAGAAACACCTTGGTGCACGTTTAATGAATGTTTAAAATGTAGATTCCAAGGCTCGATGCTCAGAAATTCTGCCTCGGCAGCCGCCTTCACAAGCACACCCCATCCTGGCGCCTAATGACTTATTTTTTTTTTCGTTTTCCTAGAGGATAAAACGTCATGAGAGAAAAAACTCGGCAATACCTTATTGGGAAAATGGCTTAAGGTGAAACCTAGTTTGATTAGATAAATAATTCTTCAAACCTAATTACTTGCTTTTCTTCTTTCTTAACGTAAAACTTGAAGATTTAATTCTTAAAACCCATTTTTCGAAAAGCACTTGGTAGTTCGCAGGTGATCGGTAATCCACAACTCATAAAAATAAAAATAAAAACCTGGCTTGTCACATCCAGCGTGTCTTTTTACTGGTCTGCCGTTTGTTCAAAGTGGCTTCTCACTACTGACACCTTAAGTGACATTGGTCCCCCATAGTGCACACGGCTCCTGTTTTTCATGGGATCTGGCTGGAAATAGTCTGTGCCTAAACTTTTTGGCAAATTGAATCTTTTTTTTTTATATATATATATATCTATATATATATATATATATAGATATATATATATATAAAAAAAAAAGATTCAATTTGCCAAAAAGTTTAGGCACAGACTATTTCCAGCCAGATCCCATGAAAAACAGGAGCCGTGTGCACTATGGGGGACCAATGTCACTTAAGGTGTCAGTAGTGAGAAGCCACTTTGAACAAACGGCAGACCAGTAAAAAGACACGCTGGATGTGACAAGCCAGGTTTTTATTTTTATTTTTATGAGTTGTGGATTACCGATCACCTGCGAACTACCAAGTGCTTTTCGAAAAATGGGTTTTAAGAATTAAATCTTCAAGTTTTACGTTAAGAAAGAAGAAAAGCAAGTAATTAGGTTTGAAGAATTATTTATCTAATCAAACTAGGTTTCACCTTAAGCCATTTTCCCAATAAGGTATTGCCGAGTTTTTTCTCTCATGACGTTTTATCCTCTAGGAAAACGAAAAAAAAAATAAGTCATTAGGCGCCAGGATGGGGTGTGCTTGTGAAGGCGGCTGCCGAGGCAGAATTTCTGAGCATCGAGCCNCGACCGGGGATCGAACCCCGAGCGCCTGGATCCCAGGCCGACGCTCACCCGCTGAGCCCCGCCCGGCCGGGCGGCAACTGGACTCTTTCCATCTCTCTTCGAAGGTGCATTTGGGCATGTATTTCTCCATCCAGAACTTCACAGATGAAGTTCAGAAAAGCAAGGACCAGCTGATATCCTGCTGCCTGGCTGTGTACCACCAAGTGTGCCAGGCGATGCTGCCCACGCCGGCCAAGTGCCATTACCTGTTCAATCTTCGGGATATGTTCAAGGTTTGTTTCAAGAGCCGTTCTCTGGCTGGCTTTCACTGTTCACGTTGGGGAAGTGTAATTTCACTGAATTGACACACACTCTCCGCCCCCCTCTCTTTTTCCACTTTTCTTACCCATACATACTGTCAGTATTTAATTATTAAAAGGGGCAAAAAGGGAAATTCAGATTGATTAGCTTTGCCATTCATTAGCAGCTTACGCCATGAGCCTGTTAAGAAGACTCACTACAATAATTCCATGCAGAGAATCCACTGATAAGACCGAGCAGGGAAGGAAGCGACAGGGTTTACAATGCGGAGTTTCTGAGATGATTGTGGCCCTTGGAAAACAGAAGCCTGCGTGCGGTTCCTAAACAGGCCTGAAGCCTGACAAGTCTGCTTTCAGTGAACCAGGGGCTGTTGCCAAAAGGGCTGATTTACCCGTCGGCTTTGATCAGAGCATCATTTTCAGAATTAAAATGTTAAGAAAAAACAATTTTCGAATTTGATCTGTCTCTCCTGGCTGTGGGACTTTAGCCCCAAATGGCACATAGAGCATTTGAAGTGGGTTAGAAGGGTTTGTTTTGATTTGTGTGGTTTTTTTCCATCCAAATTAAGAGTCTTATACCTTGCCCAACTCATCAAAAAATCCAGATTATAAATGGTAGAAATGACAGTCCTTACCCTGGATAACTGCTTCTGTTTGTATAGAAACATGGACCTGCAAAAACTGAGCCTTGACTCACTAATCCTTCCAGCTAATGTCTTTTAAAATGTTATTTTTAAATCCCCGGTAGCTCCTGCTGGGGCTGATGCAAGCCGACAAGGCCGTGATTAACTCCAAAGAGATGGTCGCTCTGTTCTTCGTTCACGAAGCCACCCGGGTGTTTCACGATCGCCTGATTGAACATTCCGAGAAAAGTCAGTTCTATCGGTTTCTTTCAAAGGAACTCGAGAATTATTTTCAGGTAAACTTATATTTTCCGCCTTATTTTAAATGGTGTTTGGGGCAAAAGTGGTTCGGTAAAGTACGCAGGCATCAATGTACTATAGTATGGAAGTACCGTAACATTAATGAGAGAAGTGTTGCTCTGCTTTTCACCTGAAAATTCGAAGTATAGATGTGATGTGATGGAAATGATAAGGTCTTGATGCCTCTGCTCACTCGTGTGGCCTCTTTGGAACCTCAGAACTGCTCGCTTTTCTCAGGACGAGCCGAAGTGTTCACTCTCTTGGTATGTCAGCCAGATCCCCGGCCTCTCCAGCCCTTTGAACCTCAGTTTCCACGGAGCCTCTTCCGTCCAGGTCACAACAGAAAGCGTTTCAGTAAATGATTCACACGGAAAGAGCTGACATCATTTTTTTTTGGTAACTATTCCCTTTGCTGTGCAGAAGCTTTTTAGTCTGATGGGGTCCCATTTGTTTATTTCTGCTTTTGTTTCCCTTGCTCAAGGGGACATATCCAAAAAGGTGTTACTCAGGCTGATTTCAGATGCTTTACTTCCGATGTTTTCTTCTAGGAGGTTTATGGTTCCAGCCTTACAGTTAAGTCTTTAACCCGTTTTGAGTTTGTCTTGTACGTGGCGTAAGAGAGTAATTGAAATAACAAAGAGACTGCTGACTCCAGTGTATATTTTTACCTCCTTTGTCATAGATTAGTTGACCCTGTAAGTGAGGGTTTATTTCTGGACTCTCTGTTCTGTTCCGTTGGTCTGTGCGTCTGTTTTCGTGCTAGTCCCAGGCTGTTTTGATGACTGTAGCTCTGTAGTATAGTTGGAGATCAGGGTGCGTGAGCCGTGTAGGAAACCGTCAACAAAATAAAAAGGCAACCTACTGAATCAGAGAATATATTTTCAAATGATATATCTGATAAGGGGTGATATCTAAATATGTAAGAAACTCATACAACTCAGTAACGAAAAAATTAACAATCTGGTCAAAAAGGTGGGCAGGGACACGAGAAGACACTTCTCCAAAGAGGACATACAGATGGCAGCAGACATACGAGAAGATGCTCGACCTCACTAATCATCAGGGAAATTCAAATCAAAACCACAAAGGGCTCCCACCTCACGCCTGTCGGGACGACTGTTATCAAAAAGTCAACAAACGAGGTGCCGGCGAGGACGTGGAGAACAGGGGACCCTTGTGCAAACTGGCGCAGCTCCTGTGGACGGCAGTGTTCCTCAAAAACTCAAATAGATAAACCATACGGCCCAGCAATTCCGCTTCTGGGTATTTAGCCAAAGGCAGTGAAAACACTAATTTGAAAAGANTGGCCCAGCAATTCCACTTCTGGGTATTTAGCCAAAGGCAATGAAAACACTAATTTGAAAAGATACAGGCACCCCTGCGTCTACCGCAGCATTATTTACATCTGGAAGCAACCTGGGTGCCCGGTGGGTGAAGAAGGCGCGGCGCACATGCAGTGGGACATTACGCAGCAAGGCAAAGGGATGGGGCTGTGCCACTTGTGACAACAGGGGCCTATCCAGAGGGTGTTACGCTAAGCGAAGGAAGTGAGGCGGAGAAAGACAGATGCCGTATGGTTTCACTTCTATGTGGAATCTAAAAAAAAAAACAAAACCCCAAAACAGACTCATAGAAACAGACCAAAGGGCTGGTCACCAGAAGGGTTGCTCGTTCCACCCCACGACACGGGTCGGGGGGGAAGGGGGAGGGATTTAAACGTACAGATGGGTAGTCACAGAATCGCCTTGGGGACGTGAAGTACGGCGTAGGAAATACAGCCAATAACACTGCAGTGACTATGTAGTGTCAGGCGGGTACTAGGTTTATCGGGTGATCACTTCATAAGTTACATAAACCAGTAATCTTGGGGTCATACACCGGAAACTAATATAATACAATGTTATAAGGCAGTACATCAACTGTCATTAAAAAATAAAAATAAAGAAAAATCTCAAAATATATATATAAAGGTAGCAACTGTAGGACTGTGGTAAGAATGAATGACACTAATTTGTGTCAAGTGCTTAGAACAGCTTCTGACATACAGTAAGCGCTCAATGCGTGCAAGCTGTTACAGTAACAGAAAGAACCAAGCCTTGTCTCTGCATTTCAGATATTGGCGGGCAGTTTGGCCGAAAGAGCCTGAGCTCTAGAAAATATTATCCTGAGGAGCCCCCAGGTTTCACCGCCAAAATGGGCCCATGGTGCAAAGCAGGCTCGGCAGCCCTGAGGCCTAGGCCGGCTGAGCCAGAGCCTGTGTGATGCAGACGTAGCGCGTTAATGTTGATGCGTAGGACTGATTAGCGGCAGATACTATTAAATTATCATCTTACAATAGATTCAGTGGGCCAAAGAATCCCTGATGAGCGACTCGACTGTATTTGTGGATTTCCTGGATATCAACAAATCTCACAGAAGAAAGATCTACCAGAACACCAGTGATTATGACAAGCTCGCCGAGGTACTCAGTGAATTCCAGATGAAGGTGAGTTTGTCGTCTTTGGGGGTAAAAACATATAAAATATTAGAAGTACTATATATGTATATATGTTCATATATGCGTGCGCACACATATATAAAATCAAACATCTTGAAGGTGTGTGTCTGGGTGTGTGTAAGAGATTTCAGGGGAAAGGTGGGCCCTCATTCTAAAGCAGACTATTAGAAATGCAGTTTTATATTGTCTCATCTTTGTCTCATTTAATATAAGGGTAAAATTTTAAATACAAGATGCACAGCTGGGGCGTAGGGGGTTGGACAGTTAGAGGCAGTGAATTAAGAAATTCGAGGGAGGGTGTGGCCCCAGGTCCCGAGTGGCAGCAGGGAGCAGCAGGCATGGGCATGCCCGTGTCGTGGGCAGAGATGTGAGGGAGCAGACACACCAGCGAAATCCCAGAGGCCTCGAACCCGTGTCCTGAGACTCTTCCTCCCGCCACCCTTCTCACCCCGGGACACAGCGGCAGGAAAGCAGCCGGGCGCCGCTCTCCCTACTCCCTTCCCTCGGGCCTGCGGCCGCCCCCCACCAAATCTTGGTCACTGGACTGGGCATCGGGACAGTCCCCACTGTGCAAACTTATTTCCCATAAGCGGAAGCCAGCTCCCTGGGCCTAGATGACTGGAGCAGTCGTTTCCATTTCTGGACCCTCATACGTAAAACCATAAGGAACGTTTTTCTGTGCCTGCGCTCAGTGTACTTTCCCGTTTCCTTGGCCAGATTTCTCATTCCATGGTGTTCTTCAAGGAGGCCATAGAGCACATCTCGAGAGCCGCCCGGGTCCTCCGGCAGCCAGGGAGTCACATGTTACTGGTAAGAACTGTTAAATTTTTCAAATGGTTTTAAGTTGGCAAAATAAAACTTAAGGAAATCGAACAAATCTGCTTTGCTTACAGAAGTTTTACTTACCCAGACTTTGCATCTTTGAAAAGTCCAAGTCATCGAGTCATAGGACAAGACCCTTGTCCTCTCGAGAGTCTGCCTAAGAAATTTATCAGCACCTAAAAATGCCACTTGTTTTTAGAAAGTATTTGGTATGAATTGAAGAGATGGACCTGGCACCACCTCTAGCATGACCTTGGCATCAATATACTATCTGTGCGGTGGATTTCACTTCTGAACAGCACATGTACTTGAATATCGATTTAGAAACATGAGTCTTTGCACAGAGTTTCACTTTCCATGAAAACAAGTGGGAAATTCTTGGAAAATCCCCAAATACTTCAGCTAGAGAAAAGCTTCCAGAAGGCTAAATAAAAATCCAACCTATTCAGCCAATTATGCGAATCACCTAATTTATGACTATTTATTTGTTGTTATTTATGTCGGTTTTTAATTTATTTTATACTTAAAACTATTCAGTTATTTAATTCACACACCATTTTTTCCAAAAAGGACTTTTTTTTTTTTTTTTCTGGCACTTAGAAAATTTTGTTTAAACAGACATGTACAAGACTAATGAAAAGGAATTAAAAGTTGGAAAATAGAATTAAGGCCAAAATGCAGAAGCAGATCTTCCCACCGTCAAAACTATTCCTTTATCAGCCTTTCCCATCCCGTAAGCGGCACCCCCATATAGTTACTGCTCCAGCCAAAAACCTGGGGACCCCTCATTCTTGACACCTTGCACTGCCCACCTTCCGCCTGTCAGTGATCTATCTCCCAAAAAAGTTACAGAAACCGTCTGAGGTGCTTTTACTGTCTAAATTTCCGGCACACCTAGACAGAGAACTATACCGTGCAAGATTCCCAGAGCGCACACAGGAATCACGTGTCGGATTTTTCTCCTTCCAAAGATTGGAATCGACGGGTGCGGAAAGGAAACCTGCGCGACCATGGCCTGTTACCTGACAGACTACAAGGTGTACCAGATGCCCGTGTCTCACAACTACGCCTACATGGAGTTCAAAGAAGACTTTAAGAAGGTCTTTATTCAGACAGGGCTGGAAGGGAACCCCACTGCTTTGATCATGGCTAATCTTAACCTGGACCAGGTGAGTGCCTGTTGCCTTTATGATTTGCTAAAGTCTGATATCGAAGCAGTGCCCCATTTAAGATTGGAAAAGAAGATATTTATCCACAGTCCTGTTAACCTGCCATATCCACTCTCGTCGTTCCTCTCTGTTCTTACCCAGTTGTAGCCCGTAGAATTGATATGTTTGTAATCCTGTTAGACTCAGGAAAAAAAATATTTTTTGGTGGGTAATAAAGAGAAATCTAGTTTTCATGATGTTGTTGTTTTAATTAGCCTCAGTTCTCCGTAAGCACTGCTGCGTGGTGTGTTTAGAGTGGAATTCGTGAATAATTTACTCACTTATGATTAAGTGTCCGTTTCCCCTCAGGAGGCGTTTTTGGAAGACTTGAACAGCATTCTCAACTTGGGGAAAGTGCCTGACATATTTGAAAAGGAGGAGCTGGACTCTCTCGCACTCAAGATTAGATCTCTCCCTGAGCAGAGCTGTTATTTTGATAATAGGCAAACTGTGCTTTCATTCTTCCAGAAGGTACGTTTTTTGTGAATTGGCTTCATCGAACGTCATGTTAGGTTGAAAGTAGAGTACGTTTAAACCCTGCACGTGAATTTCAAGTTGGGTAATTTCTTTAGTTCTTTAAATGAGTTTTCTAAGCTAAAATAATGACTGCCAT